TCGCTTTCACAACGAAACACACAGCGTCTTCACAACATGGCGGCAACAACAATACTACAGCGAGAATCAAAGTTATGCTTTCTTTCTTTGCGTGAACATTTGGGCGGTGTTATGCAAATCTTCCCACATAGTGACGTAGGTATGTTGGGGCGTGTTAGAACGAGCTGTTTTAGGTAGGTGTGGCTGACTCTTAACTTTTATAAAGAATATCTCTTTGGATTTGAGACTTTAGTCTTTGCAACTTTACAGATCTTCTTTATGCACCAAGAGCTTGTAACACTCCAAAGAGAAAGGAAAAATTTAAATCGCATCATATGACCCCTTTAACTGAGCCAAACCAGTAGCCCCTCACTGCAGAACACAAGATCCAGGGGGCGTGGTTGGATCCACATCTAGGGGTGGAGATTGGTAGGTTTATGGATGGAGAAGGGTGGGTTTAGGGATCGGGGGTGGAGATGGGTAGGTTTAGGTATTTGTAAGGTGGGAGGAGTTGAATCTGGATCCAACCACGCCCACTGGATCTTGTGTTCTGCAGTGAGGACCATCTCAGCCAAACAAGTGAAACATTTAAAGGGGTCATCGGATGCCCATTTTCCACAAGTTGATATGATTCTTTAGGTTCTTAATGAAAAGTCTATAACATACTTTGGTTAAAATTTCTCAATGGTAGTGTAAAAAACACCCTTTTTACCCTGTCAAAATCAGCTCTGTTTTCAGCTCGCGGTTTTAGTCCATGTTGCTTTAAATGCTAATGAGCTCTGCCCCCCCCGCCCCTCTCTTCCTTGGGGTGATGAGCCATACTGTTTACTTTAGCCGCATTTAGCCACGGAACTTGCTAACTAGCACGTTATTAGGAAAAGCGCATTTAGGCAGATCGGGAGGCGCATTCCTTTCAAAAACGAAAGTAACATTAATCCTCTGCATCTTCAGCTGCTCAGATGTCGGGAGTAAATGACGACTGCTATGTTCATTACATCCAACAACAAAACACTTAATTCGCTTAGGAGTCATTCTTGTCTTCTCCTGCACCGGAGTCGACACAATGGCGGACTGATGACAGCTCACTCAGGGAGGGTCTAAGGTAAGACGGACTTGTCAATCAACTATTGTGGGAGGGGCCTGTGCAGAACTACGTCATTCTGACAGGAATCTCAGAACAGCCTGATTTGAGAAAGGGGATTTTAAAATAGGGATTTTTGCTAATAAGCTCTGCTGACCCCGCCCCTCTCTTCCGTGGAGTGACGAGCAGACTGTAAACTTCAGCCGTGAAACTGGCTAACTAGCACATTATTAGGAAAGGCGATTTGCAAAGACTCATAAAAAAAAACCTTATACTCACTTCTGTTGATGAAGCTGGATCATGAATGATTTGCGTGAACTTAAATGCATTTAGGCAGATCGGGAGGCGCATTCCTTTCAAAAACGAAAGTAACATTAATCCTCTGCATCTTCAGCTGCTCAGATAAGGTAAGACGGCCTTGTCAATCAACACAGGAATCTCAGAACAGCCTGATTTGAGAAAGGGGATTTTAAAAAAACCACTGGGTGGATTTTTATCATTATAGAGTGGATGTGTACACACACTTCCAACACACATTTATGTTCAAACAACAACAAAAGTGAATTTTGCATCTGATGACCCCTTTAAAATATGGGCATATTGACGCTTCAAATTGGTTGATAACATATATATTGAGACATTAAAAAAATCTATATTTTGTGGGGGAAATTTTTTTATTTAAACTCAATTATAACAAACATATGAATATTCATACAATTTCATAAATATGTAATAAATATAATATATATATTTAAAAATCTAAATATGATATAAACTCATTGGTCTCCACCACATCACTCAAATTTAACGGTTTTAAGTAAAAAAATATTGCAAAATGACAGTCAGTTCCCAGCAGAAACATCAAACATTATAATGTGTTTCTATGGGAGTGTGTGTACTATGTGTGTGTTTGAGCGTGTGTAATGTATGTATGTATGTATGTATGGATGTATGGGAGTGTGAGTGTTTTCTGAACTGGGGTAATTCTGTAGGCTCAGCCCTTCGTTTGGGTATAAATCTTTACTGGATTGTGCCAGATTTTGTATATAAAAAAAAAAAAAATCAAATATAATAAAAAACACAGTTTTTTCGTACATTCCATTCATTCCTATGGGGGTCAAAATGACCCGCGAGGGACACTTTTGTTACTTTTATTTATAACACCCACATAAACTCCACGAATCCACTCTTTTTGTTTTGACACTTTTGTTACTTTTATTTATAACACCCACATAAACTCCACGAATCCACTCTTTTTGTTTTGACACTTTTGTTACTTTTATTTATAACACCCACATAAACTCCACGAATCCACTCTTTTTGTTTTGACACTTTTGTTACTTTTATTTATAACACCCACATAAACTCCACGAATCCACTCTTTTTGTGTGGACACTTTTGTTACTTTTTTTTTTATAACACCCACATAAACTCCGCGAATCCATTCTTTTTGTGTGGACACTTTTGTTACTTTTTTTATAACACCCACATAAACTCCTCGAATCCACTCAATTTTTTTTTTGTGTATTCCCGGTGCAAGTGTGACAAAAGTAAAGAAGCCTTGAACCATAACGATCAAAACACAATTTTTAAAAATTCTTTAAAAATCAGTTTCGGATCAAAATGACCCGAGGGACGCACAAAGGTTAAGCTACCTCTAAGTTGCATTAAACAGTCAGTTTAATGGAAAAATGGATGTTGTTGATGTGGATTTCATTTGATTGGTAACATCATCTCATTATTCTAATTGAATTTATTGGTTAAATGTAACAGTTCAATAAAAAACATGATGCATACATTTAAGAAGACCAGAAATGCCCTTATAAAAGGTAAAAATTGCTTTGAAATCAGATTAAGGGGACAAATATGGCCTCAGTGGAAAACTTAATTCTGTCATGGCTGTGATCATTTTAGACAAAATCTCAGAAAATCGCACGCTACACGCCAAAAGAAAAACAACAAAAAACAAAAGGCAAAATGTTCTTCACTTTATCAAAGTCAAAAATATCACAGTGTATCTTTCATCACCATCGGCAAAGGCTATTATCAGGCCTGGGAAAGCATTCATGCATAGCTCAGCTCTTAAATATTCAGATAACAAAGCCAAATTAATGTGTGGATTTACGTAGTACCTGATTCTATAGGTGAAGAAAAAGTGTGGTGGATGGACTGAACTGAGCTCTGGCAGGAAGGAGGTAGAGACTGATACTGTGATGTCACCAGTGGTTGCCACACAGCGCTTGTCATGAACATACCTGAACAAACATAAAGGGGATAAAATGTAGTGGGGCACTTATAATATGCTTTTGTAGTTTTAAATGCTGACATTAGTTACTAAAGCCTTGTTCAGACTGTCAGTCCAAATCAGATTTTTTGCATATCTGATTGAAATCTGATTTAAATGTTTGACTGTCCACACTGTGTATCGCATATATTCTGACACGCTTTGTGTCCCCATGGCGCTTTTTCGTTTTACTATCTGCATTGGTTTTTATGGCAATGACATTGCATTTGGTATGCATACGCTAAAAACAACCATAACAGCAATACAGTTTGCAAAACAGATGCTGTCTTACATTGTGACAACATATTGCAGTTGCGCTGGATCATATGCATCTTATGAGGCAGCGGCAGAAACGTAGGAAGCTGGAATGTGCAGATTCATTCCATGCTGCCATCTCCTCCGATCTCAAAACTCAAAGAGGTGGGTAGACCAGCAGTACATTGTCATTTTCCACTTGACTTGCACTTCGCAACAACACAGCCTTGTTTCTGCAAAGAAATTAAGCATGTTTTCTACAAACAACGTATGACGTATTTACGTTATACGTGGTGTGAGAAAGTGACAAGCAAAAAAGCTACGCTAAATCTGATCTGAGTGGTCAGACAGAAACAGATTTCCAGAAAAGCGATTTGAATAGGATTTCAAATCACATATGGAGTGAGCTTGAAACGGATTTGTAGAAATTGTATTTCACATGATTTTTTTGTCTTTCAGACTTGCTAAATATGATCGGAGTCCAATCGGATATGTACAAAAATCGGATTTGGACTGACAGTCTTAAATGTAAGATAACGAAAGATGGACCACCTGAAGATCTGGTCCCGAATGATGGGGTATTCTCCTGTTACAACATTGTCAACATAGGAAGTAAACCACTCAGTAAAATTAGGACCTGATAAAAAGAAAAGAGGAGAGAGAGGAGTTCATATAATCTGAGACGGTTTATAAAACTGCAATGCAGTAATGAAAGCTTTTGCACTTTGTTACCCGTAATGAACATGTCAATCGCAGAGGGATCTTGTGCCAGTTGATCCTGTAAGAAAAAAAGTCATAAATGAGAGCTAGCAAGAAGGGCTGTAATACACAAGACAAGCGCACCTCCTACTGGTCAACCAGCAACAACGCAAGAAAAATACCCCTCTTTCATCTTGTGCTTCAGCCTCATGCACAAGCAGAGTGGTACTTGATGTGGTGAACTGAGTCACCACCTGTCAGCTACAATGCAGTTGGGAGGCCTTTTAAAGGAGTAATTCAGCCAAAAAATGAAAATATACTGAAATTTACTCTTACCTCCAGGCCATCCAAGTAGATCAATTTGTTTCCTCATCAGAACAGATTTGAGGAATTTATCATTACTCTTTAGCATCACTTCTTCACCAAAGGAACCTCTGCAGTGAATGGGTGCCATCAGAATGATATAATAATCAAAGAACTGTTTTAGACTGTTTTCGCTTTTAAGTGGTGCTTGATCTGTACTTATTTCTCTCCTGATTCAGACAAGGTAACTTTTTTGCTGGAGAACCCAATACTACAAATAGGACTCGTACTTTACTGAAGCAATGGTTTAAAGTAAAAACGTCTAAATTATGGGTTTATTACAAACATGCAGATTTTTCAATTCACATGAAATTAATAGATGGATCTCTGTCATTATTGTGATGTTTTTTAATCAGATGTTATTTATTCTGACAGCACCCATTCACTGCAGAGCACTTACTGAAGAACAAGTGATGTAATGTTAAATTTCTCCGAATATGTTCTGATGAGGAAACAAACTCATCTACATCATAGATGACCTGAGGGTGAGTAAATGTTATGCAAATTTTTCATTTCTGGGTAAACTATTCCTGTAACATTACCATTTAGTCTCCAGCAACTATATGGTTTGTATCAGAGTTTCACTTTTCATAACTGTTCGCAAGCCCTACATAAATGCATGTTTATGCATGGTAGATTGTTGTGGTCTGAGGGTGGTGATCTAACCGGGCATTGATAGAAGATCTCACTGCGTGTTCGTCCCTCTGTGCTCTCCAAGGCCATGTACTGGCTGAGGCCGGTGTGGAAGCAAAATGTGAGTGGAAGACACTGCCGCATTCCCTTCCTCTGCTGAAATCCCCCCGCTGCTGTCTCAATATCCAACAGGTCCTCAGAGCGATAGTGATTGGACAAAGCCATGCTGCCCATCAGCCTGTGGAGGGGAGGTAGTGCAAAGATCAGTTATGATAATGTTAAAGGTTTATTGACATTTTAACTCCATGCCAGCTTCCTTGGTTATTTTCAAGGTGAGAAACAAGTTTAAATACTATAAGTGCACAATTTAAAAACCTTAATGAGGTTTTTGAAGTATACTTTAGATAAAAAGTCAGATTAAGGATTGGCTCTGTTAAGAATTTCTTAAAAAGTGTTTGCTAGTTTCCTGAGAGTACTACCAACACAATTGAATCAAATATATTTAAGAGATATTGGACTCTGGTGTGAGAAGTATATCAGTGGATCTTCACTTGAACCAACTTGTGTGACTCTGGAGTGTCCTATTGAATATGGTGTATATATGATCTGATCGCAGTGATTATTGATAATTTCATACAGTTAGTTGTTCATACACTGATCCCATTCATTTTGCCATTTGTTGATAACATAAGATAATATGGCAGTTTTTAAGATCAGAGGCCGATGACGGTAAATTAAGTTTGTCCGCTTGCTTGTGTACAATCAATGTTATTCAAATCAGTTATGATCATTTAAATAATTACTTTAATTTTCTAATCATGTTTTAATGATTGACAAGTAAATTACGAGCAAAAAAAAAAAATGTAAAAAGGATTTTGAAATGATCAACATCATATTCACAGAAGTCTTACCCAGGGACCACCAGTTTCTGTCCATTGTGTATCCTATAGGAACAACGGTAGTCATTAGGGAGTTTGCAACCAATCTGGGCCTCAATGGTGTCTAGCTCTTCCTCCCTCACTCCCTCTTCAAGGAAAAGGAAACAAATTATTCAGTGGACAGCACTCATATTATGAAAAAAACACCCACAGGTTTTCAAAATATGGTTGGATGAGTAACAGTGTGGACAAACCTTTAAGTGAAGCTATCATTCGGGGACATTTCTGATTCAGGTAGTTCTTCAGGTCATCCCAGGCTTTCTTGAGAGGTTTATAATAGTCAATGTAACGGCCCAGATCAGCATAATATTCCCGAAACAGCTCCTTCCATGCCAAGCCTCTATGGGTTTTGTCTGCCCTGTTAAAAAAAAAAAAAAAATCATGTCATCAACACTGTATTTTGATTACAACAAATTTAAAATGCAACAAAAAGACAGAAAAATGCATATGCCATAAATGAATCAAAAGTTCTGAGGGCATGAGGAGTTAGCTTACTCTGTAAGGAGCCAGTGCGTCTGACAAAGTCTCTTCCATAGGGGGTTATGGCCTGTCAGCTCATTGAGTCGACGACTTACAAAACTGCAGCTGAGAAAAGAACAAGCCAGATCAACAAAAACACCTTCAACTACTCAAACTACTTGAGATTCTGGAAACATAGGCTATTCAGGCGACGCTTCATATGTTAAAACATCTGATCATGGCCTTGAAGTGGATTTTTGTATAATGTGGTACAAAGTGTAATTGTGATGGACTTACTATTCTCAAACTATTAAGTAAAAATCTTAAAGTTAAAGGGATAGTTTACCCAAAAATTAAACATCTGTCATTATTAAAGGTTCCCACTATACTTTAAATTAACTGAAAAAAAAACAAAAACAGTTATTTAGGTTTTCAAGGGGGGGAAATATAGTTCAAAGTTAAGGTAACGTTAGATTTGGTAAAATTCTAAAAAAATAAAAAATAAAATAATAATAATAATAATTAAAAAAGTACCTTAAAGGGGTCATATGATGCAATTTAAATTTTTCCTTTCTCTTTGGAGTGTTACAAGCTCTTGGTGCATAAAGAAGATCTGTAAAGTTGCAAAGACTAAAGTCTCAAATCCAAAGAGATATTCTTTATAAAAGTTCAGAGTCAGCCACGCCTACCTAAAATGGCTCGTTCTAACACGCCCCCACATACCTACGTCACGATCTGGGAAGATTTGCATAACGCCACCCAAATGTTCACGCAAAGAAAGAAGACGTAACTTTTATTTCTCGCTGTAGTATTGTTGTTGCCACTGCCGCCATGTCGTGAAGACGCTGTGTGCTTCGTTGTGAAAGCGAAACTACTTTGTTTGGCCTTCCAAAAGAGGATGGGTCGCTGAGGAAATACATCAACTTTCACCGTAGACAAAGCGGAGTCCAGCCCGGGGTTGTCACATGTGGTTGCCGCCGGGCGCGCCGTTCTCGACCCCGCCGCCTCAGCTCACTCTAGCCCGGCCTCAGCTCATTCGTCATGCCTAGAGCTGATCTGTGCTGGTCGCTGAGGGAATACTTCAACTTAGTGCTGTGGATCGCCAGCACATTTTATGGAGGACTGTTTACTGATCCTGGGAGAGTAACGTTAGACTAAAATGCCGGCAGTTCTGACTCACGTAAGTACGTTTTCATTTAAAGGATTTGCCACTGATGATTCAAACGCGAGTTTTGGGCAGTGTGGATTAACGTTAGCACTTGTTGTTTGTCATTTCTCTCATTTCTCTGGCAGACAGAGTTTTATGTTTACGCGGCGCGATGCAATGCAACGCAACGCGTAAAAAGACAAAAAAGACAATTATAATCAGTAATTATGTCCCCACTGGATGCAACAAATGCCTCATTTGTAATGGGTTTTAATGTTTATGTCTCGTCGCTCCGGCCGGACACGGCATCAACACAGTATGGTGAGGGGCGTAACATTTCCGTCTCACGCTTGAGGTATTCGGCCAATCACAACGCACTGAATAGCTGGCCAATCACAGCACACCTCGCTTTTTCAGACCGATGAGCTTTGTAAAAATCGACGCATTTCAGAAGGCGGGGCATAGAGGAGAAACAATAATGTACAGTATGTGGAAAATAATGTGTTTTTTTAACTTTAAACCGCATAAACACATTTCATTACACCAAATAATGTTCTTTTTAGCAGCACCATATGACCCCTTTAAA